GCCTGGCCGCCGTTCTAGTAGAATGAACCATGATAACTGTATACGTCCCTTCAGTGCCCACAGCAATGTGTTTAAATATTTCTTTTTCCCTTGCGCTGTCACCGCTTGGAACACGCTACCAGGTAAAGCTGTTAATATTACAAATATTGATGAATTTTGTTCTTTTGTGGAGCAGTTAACCGAGCCAGTATAGTTACATTTTGTTGTTCTTGTTGCGATAACGAAAAACGTGTTTTGCAGTGGTGCATTGTAATCGTTTGTACATATATATTGTTTTTCATGCGTATTACGTGGTTTTTATTATTTTTTTTCTCATCTTCTCGTGTATGGGAAGAGCACCAATACAGTATTGTTGTACCCGCTATTGTAAGTGTTTCGCTGTTGTGCGTACCGTCCCTCAAAATATTGTATTTCCTGAACTTTGTATCTAATTGGTTACCTGTGATGATGTATGCCCGCTTCCTGTATGGGTCTGCAGAAGACCTACAGTGTTGTTAAATAAATAAATAAATGAAATATAAAAATATGATCACGAGGAAAGATGTTTATCCGCTGCTCAGAATCGATTATGTCCTCGATTGCCTGCAAGGAGCATAGTTCTGTTCTTCTTTAAATCTTCGAGTCGGTTACTGGCAGGTTCCTATGAATGAAGCCGATCGCTCCAAGACTGCGTTTGTAACGCGTGACGGATTGTACGAGTGTAACGTAATGCCATTCGGCCACTGTAATGCACCTGCCACCTTCGAGCGTCTCATGGACAACATCCTTAGAGGCTTCAAATGGAACACATGCCTGTGCTATTAGGATGACGTCGTTGTTTTCTCGAAGGGCTTCGACACCCACCTCAGCCGCCTCGCAAGCGTCCTGACTTGTCTTTCTGACGCTGGACTGCAGCTGAATTCGAAGAAATGCCACTTTGCTGCCCGCCAGCTTACCATCTTAGGGCGTTGTTAGCAAGCATGGTGTCCGTCCTGATCCAGCCGAGCTTCGCGCTGTCACCGAGTTTTCCAGGCCGGCTACACTAAAACAACTCCGCAGCTTCATCGTCCACCGCTCATGTTTTCACCATTTTGTGCGCAATTTCACCACCATAATCGTGCCCCTAACACAGCTACTTGCCGACAACCAAGACGTCTCGGCATGGTTCCCAGCATGCAACGAAGCATTCACTTCTTCACGCCATCTTCTGACATCACCACCTATCCTACGCTACTTTGATTCAGACGCCCCAACCGAAATCCTCACGGACGCTAGTGGAGTTGGCCTCGGCACTATTCTTGCTCAGCGTAAATCTGGCTTCGATGAGCATGTTGTGTCCTACGCTTGTCGCACCCTCACTAGAGAGAAAAAGAACAATTCAGTCACCAAGAAACAGTTCCTTGCCATTCTTTGGGCAATAACGAAATTCCGACCTTACGTATATGGTCACCCATTTGACGTCATGACTGATCACCACGCATTGTGTTGGTTGTCGTCATTAATGGTGCATTCAGGCGACGGACCGAATCCGGATGTGGCGGGACGGACGACGCGTCACGTGATCACACATCAGCGATTCGCTTCGTTGGCGACTCGTCCGCGCGCCTCGCGGGTGGAAGACCCAAACCCGTTTCTCACATCGGAATTGAGGCGGGAGAAAGCGGATGGTTCAGCGGACTAGCTCTGGGTTTCTGGCAACCAGTACACTTTTCGTCTGCTCGTGGCATGCCCTCTATGGCTCGCGGACAGCTGCATGACTGGCCAGCATCATCTACGCTTGAACATGGTTTACTTAGTTTCCGGGGACTTTGTTCTGAGGTGAATAATTAAGGAGAAATCAATGTTGGTGTTTCTGCAAATGTCGCCACCGTTTTTTGACGCATGAGATTCTTAGCCGCCATGGTGGTGAAATATTTTAACTTTTTCAACCGGCGACGTGCCGCTTGTAAAAAAAGACGGGAGACGCATTCAAAAGTGCCGCACATAGGGGAACAATGTAGTTGAAAGAACATTCTGCGAGCAACTGCGCTTTCTCCTGAAAGAATAACACTCCTCGCCCATTTCTCACAACGCGAGAAAGGGGCGGGGGGGGAGTGATATTAAATGAAATAAGCGAAAAGTGGGCCCCGTAACTGTCTCTCAGGGGGAAGACACCTCAACAATAGCTAACGCGGGGGGGGGGGGGAGGTAAGGAGGGATTAAAAGGATAGGACGAAAAGGAATAGATATAGAGGGAGCGGATGGAGAGAGTGATGCACGGGGATGGCCGCATACGGAAGTAAAGGGAAAAAGGGAAGATAGGAAAGATGGACACGGTTGCAGGAGTCGGAGGACGGGGCACCACTCGGCGGGAGCTCTTGTCAGCGTCACGAGATAGCGTAGGGTAAGCCAGTCGGCCAGAGCTGCACTGTCGTCGGAGATCACGGTGTCACAAATGGTCGGCACGAAATCCAGCGAGCGAGAGAGCAACGTGACGGCCATCGCCACCAAGCGTCGCTTCTGGTGGGCATGCATGTTGAATACTCTCAAACCGGTCTGCTGCCAGCGAGCGCCGGTGAGCGCCGAATCTGCTGTCGAGGATAATAGGGCTGTTTTCTCCTAGGACACCCTCCGTTTGTGGATGCGCCTGCAGGCGGATCATCCGCGGATTAGCCATCCGCGTCGACGACAAATCCGGATTAGGTCCATCGTCTCAATACACCATAAAAGACCCATCACGTCGCCTAGTTCGCTGGGCCCTACGTCTCCAAGGTTAGGACATTCGTGTAATTTATAGGTCAGGCCACAAGCATTCAGACGCCGACGCTCTTTCTCGCTCGTCACTTCCCATGATTATGTTACAGCGTCTGTTTGCAGCTGCGAATATTCTTCACTTGAACTTGCCGACATGTCGCTGAGCAACGCCATGATCCATGGATAACGTCTCTCTTAGAGTACTTGTCTCAGAAGTCTCCAGGTACCGACAACCGTTTACTTCGACGAACTGCTCGCCATTTTACCATCCGTGACGGTCTTCTGTACTAGTGAAACTACCTATCTGATGGCCGCAAATTGTTTCTGGTAATCCCTCGCCACCTACGTTCTGACGTCTGTGCCTTCTTCCACGCGGATCTGCAATGCGCCCACGCAGGTATAGTGAAGACGTATGCTCGCCTACGAAATCGATTTTACTGGCGCGGAATGTACCGCTTTGTTAGGCAGTACGTCCGTTCATGTTCCTTGTGCCAACTCCGGAAGAGCTCCCCTCACACAACCAATGGGCCACTCCAGCCACTGCCTTGTCCTTCTCAGCCTTTCGGCCGCATCGGAATCGACTTGTACGGTCTCCTACTATACACACCAAATGGAAACCGCTGGCTAACGTAGCATCGGACCACCGCTGAAACTTCGGCGCTTTCCGAGGCCACTGCGCGTGAGGTCGGCCTGTTCATTCTGCACAACCTCGTCCTTCAACATGGGGCACTCCGCGAGCTTCTCAGGGCCCATGGGCTTTCCTTCTTGTCAGAAGCTGTAGAAGCCCTTCTACGCCAATACAACATCGTGCTTCGAACAACCATCGTATATAAACCCAAAACCAACGGGATGACCGAGCGATTTAATCTCACGCTGGGTGACATGCTCTCAATGTATGTTTCCGATGACCATACGAACTGGGACCGCATACAGCCATTCGTTACGCTTACAACAGCACAATTCAATGGACAACTGGATTCTCCCCGTTCTTCCTTCTTTATTGTCGGGAACGTTCATCGTTCTTGGACACTATCCTTCTGTACCCCCCAGACCCTTCAGAATCGACGACTTTGGCCGAAGCCGCCACATATGCCGAAGAATATCGTCAGCTCGCACGTTCGCTTACTACGCACGATCAGGCTCGCCAGAAGCACTCTCATGACTGATGTTCATCACCTTCGTCATATGCGCCTGGAACAATCGTGTGGCACCATGTGCTATCATCTGCCCCAGGCCTTTGCTCAAAGTTCATACCCAAGTATGACGGTCCGTACCGGATCCTGCGCCAGACGTCACCAAACTACATGGTTGAACCTATTCAGCCACCTACAGATCAACGGCACCGCGGGCGCCAGACTGTGCAGGTCGACCGTCTAAAACTTCACTACAACCCACCAGTTGTGTCTGCGCCATAGGTCGCCAGGATGACTCCTTTCACACTGGGGAGTCAATGTAGTGACAAATACGGGCTCTGCTATGGAAACGATGAAGAAGACGTTTGTTGTGGCGGAGGCTCGTGCTGCTGCGGCTGCTGATGAAACCGCTGGCTGCTGTCTCGCTGCTGTTAGGCCCATTGAACGGTTCCTTCACTTTGGCGTGGCGTATAACAGTATTCTTACAATATATTCGTGTTTTGACACAATAATAATGAGATCTAAAATACAAAAATACAGGCAAAGTTATTAGACCGAATTGTATAGTGAATGTCAAGAATGATAAGTGGGTGAGAAGATTACTTGCCGTGGGCATGAACCGAACCTGTAACCTTATAATAACACGGTCGATAGTTTACCACTGAGCTACCACGGAGGCTATTCCTCTAGTCACTTTGTTTGGGTATATATGTGTATATTTGGGTGTTTAAACGTGGGGGTGTCAGTGAGTGCCACCACTAGCCATGGAGGCGAATATGGCACACTCTTTATGAGCCTGTTTGGCGTCACGTAGCACGTGAACTTATTAACAGCTGGAAGCTGACCATTAGTCCCTCGTATACAACCGAAACGCACCAAGTGTGCCAGTACGAGACCCTGTAAATGAATAAGGGAAACAAGTGTACACTTAAGGGCTTGTGTTTTCGTGTTTTGACTGACACAATATATATATATATATATATATATATATATATATATATATATATATATATATATATATATATATATATATATAAGAGCATCCTCAATAACTCGATCCTCCTACAACTTCCTTGCCTCCATCACTCGCAGGGTTTCATTAAAACGAAAGCTGCTGTGTTTCAATGTATGACGTTTATGAACACCGGTGTACAGGGAGGAAGTGGAGCAGCTGGAGCAGAAGGTTGCCCGCGAACGTGAGACGTACCAGCTGCGCACGTACTCCTCGGACAAGGGTTCCATCTCTGCGGTGCCCTTCTTCGCGCTGGATGACTCCTTTGTGCTGCACCACCAGGACGCCTCGTACGTGCTCGCCATTCAGCTACAGACGGCAATCGACACCGTCGTCTTACAGGTGCCAGATTTGCAGTCTCGCATGTTCGTTCTAATGTCAACGTATGTAGCTTGCTCCGAATATGTTTACTGACAATAATCCGGGCCAGCAGATACCGAAGGATAGAACGTCTGCTGCAGCATGCTCTATAACATCTCGGATTCTGATTCTTTATTTCAGCACTCACTTGAAACGAATGCTAGGACAGGAGCAAAAAGCCGCTATGATAGCGGCTTGACAAAGACCCCTGCCCCTACAGAATTCGGGAGGAGACAACACACGTACACAAATACTGCAATGCATGGATATTCGGTTTATCTTTTGAAAAAAAGAACTGAAACACTGACATGTGTGTTGTGAATTTACAGCATGTGTTCCAAATTTACAGTATAACGAAAATGCCTTTTTTACACAGAACGCACGTTTCTTTAGTGAAAAGTTCACAGCAATTACGAACAGAGCCGTAGAAAATATGTATCATGGTGAGACGATACAGATTTTGAAGTACATAGAAGCATGCAAGGTACTTTCACACACACACAAAAATTAAATGCACCATACCCACGAAAATCGTCATCATCTCTGAATATGAGGGGTGGCCTGAACGACTGCCGCCACTCACATTTTCAACATTGCTGCGTCACTTGCTTCGAGCCGTTATATTTCAGTGACCAAGAAAAAGGCCATTGCCTACGAGGCGCACACAAACAAAACACGCATGTTTGTGTGTGCTGTTTTTGTTCCCAGTGTGCCTTTCCCGTTCTTAAACATACGAGTAAGCCCGATAATTTTTAACAGCGGAGCCGTTTAGGCTCGAGCTTCAGCCGTGCCCTGCTACCAATGCCTACTTGGTGCAGATGTGCAAGGCGATGTGGACGCATGTTGAGAAATAAGCAGGGTGTGCTCGATAAACTTCTCACGAATCGCCCCGCCGCGGTGGTCTAGTGGCTAAGGTACTCGGCTGCTGACCCACAGATCGCGGGATCCAATCACGGCTGCGGCGCTGCATTTCCAATGGAGGCGGAAATGTTGTAGACCCGTGTGCTCAGATTTGGGTGCACGTTAAAGAACCACAGGTGGTCAAAATTTCCGGAGCCCTCCACTACGGCGTCTCTCATAATCATATGGTGGTTTTGGGGCGTTAAACCCGACATATCAATCAAACTTCTCTCGAATTAGAGGACGCCTCAGTCGGTCAGATTGACAGAGAAAAGGAAAGCCAGGAGGAGTATTGTTTGAGATTCGGGGGGGGGGGGGGCGATTATCAGTAACGAGTATTTAGCACAAGATATCCTAATTCAAGTAAGGATATGTGCTCGTATGAGTATTCAGGCGTAACAGACGTTTTCTGTGGTTTACAGGGAGCTTCCTCGTGACATTGTAGAGTCAGGCTGTGCCATCACCCACTCCTCGTTGGGGCCGCGGTGGGAGCATCTAACGAATGAGAGAACGAGCACGTTGCCGGTTGTTGACTGAAATAAATCACAAATATTACACACGTCTGAACACACCTGCATGCCTGAACATGCCTGTTTGAACAGACGCAATTATCGAAAAGAATGCCGCAGTGAGTATATTGCCGAGCGAATGCATACGGTGTGCAAAGCGGCGTGCGAGTGTTTGCGCACATGCTGTCAAAACGTGTTATTGTGAGCACTGTGAGCAGGAACAATGAATTCATAATTATTCAAAGATGCTTGTTCACAAGCTGTTTAATAAATCATTCGTGATCAAGTTTAACCAAACTGCTGGGAGGTGTTAATGTTTAAGTATAGAGATTATTTCATAGGCCCACGTGCTCAGATTTGGGGGCACATCAAAGAACCCCAGGTAGCGAAAATTCCGGAGCCCTTCACTATGGCGTCTCTCATAATCATATGGTGGTTTTGGGACGTTACACCACACATATCCTCCTCCTCCTCATCATCATCATCATCATCATCAGAGATTGTTTTATTTTATTCGACGAGTCATGCGCTGTAGAATGTCAGCACATTTTAAACGTGTTTATATCAGGACACCTCGCATTCATTTGCGAGGTGCCTTGGTTGGGTAAGTTACTGTTTCTTGGTATACTCTCGTACGTGTCACTGCGAGAATGTTGGCGGATAGAATAGTGCAGGTTCGGCGACAGTGGCCTTTCATTTCGTATGTCAGCGCATTCAAATAATCAGAAACCAGGAATTTCAATTACCTGCTTCCGGACGGCACCAAAAAAAAAAAAAAAAAAAGGTGCGTGCATAAGACGAGCAACAGCTTTCACCTTTAAATTGATCCCCTCAAAGGCGCTTCTGCATCAGTTTGCGAGAACTTGTTTGCGTGGCACAGAAGGATATAAATACGGACGTCCTCCACCCATAGAAATATTGCCGTTATTGCAGATATGTATAAAAAGTAATGGAATGAGTATTGTATGGAATGAGTAATGTATGGAAGCGACGTGCGTGGTTGGGAACAAACAGCGCTGGACAACACAGGACAATGAAAGGAGGACCGACGAGTATGGTGAACAAATTGCAACAGGTTTGTAGCTGGGATGTTCAATATATATTTTTAGAAACTGTGCGCGTGGTGTTGCTTGGCGCGCCTCAAACGAACTAGATCCGATTAGTCAGTAGTGCGCGAAAGGTAGCAAAGTTAGGCAGTGGGCAAAAAAGATCCGTGGCAATTGTTTCGCCATTTGTTATTCATCGGCCAGACCGGTCGGCCAGTGTGGTCGAGTGAGCATCTAAATTAATTGAATGTAGTCGTTCGATTTCACGTCGTTATGTCAGTCATGCCAATGTAATCCCACATTCGAAAGCACAGCAATTTTGTACCGTAAATCTAGTCATACAACGCGAGAAATTGTGAAAGCATATTATGTCACAAAGAACGTCGCATTTTGTGTGCGCCTCCCTTCTCGGCCGGTACAGGTCAAGAAAATTCACTAGAATAATCGACGATAAGCACGAGCCTTCCTTCTTTGACTTTGTGTGTCTTTTTATGACACACGAGCAGCACATCCACTTTCGAATGTTTTTTTTTCTATTTTTGTGACACGTCCAATAAACTTTCATTTGAGAGTGAGTGGTCGATAGTTCTTGCGTATTCTCATCTTTGCCATGCTTCTTTCTTTTTTTATTTAAGCACTACTCCAACCTGTAGCTGCAGTGCCAACGAAAGTGAGTACATACTAATCGTTCGTTGCAAATACGGTGCGAGCAACGCGCACGCTGTTTAGTGAATGTATCTTAATTTACTAAATGCCGCCTATACGTTCTAGTGCACTCTTTGAATCTCCAAACCTCAAATTGAGCTTGTAGACAATACCGATGGACGTAGATTCCAAATGTATCCGGGAATCATACACCACAGGAAACCCTATTGTACCTTTCTCTTAATTTCCCTTCATGTATGCACCAACAAAATACAAAGCCTATCCACGGAGTGATTGATGGTGATGATGCGAGAAGCGTTCGCTCATTCATCTGTCTGTCTGTCTGTCTGTCTGTCTGTCTGTCTGTCTGTCTGTCTGTCTGTCTGTCTGTCTGTCTGTCTGTCTGTCTGTCTGTCTGTCTTTTTGTTTTTAAGTCTGTCTGTCCATCCGTACGTCAGTTAATTACACAAAATTGTCAGCTATACGAAAAGCACTAACGTCGTCTATTGATATTCACTCCATACTTGCCGTGGCCGTGTTGAAAGCGAGTTGTGCGTTCACTAATCAATCAATCAGTCAATCAATCCTATAACAAATAAGAGGTCTTAGGGTAGGCATAATTTTTACGACATATGGATGGATGCAATGATATGGCTTTACCCTTTAGATCGGGCGACAGCTAACGCCACCCAGCCGTTATACTTAGTGAACCAAAAACTAAATTTACCCTTTTTTACGGACATACACACACAACGTCACCTATTGAGCAATTCACTAACTAAGGTTGGCTCGCCATGGCCTCCGAGATTGCGGGATCGCAGCGGGTTTCTCTCCGGCCGTCCCAACCGCGCGGAGAGCGCGTGTTTCCAGAGGTGGGCGTGACGCGCTCTTTTCTCCGCACCGCAGCGATCTTCATTGCGGTCGAAAAGGCTGCCATACTGTTGGCAAAGTTTTTATGTGGTGAGAAAAATGTCTTTGTGTCTTTATATAGCTTTGTGTTCATTTGGAATTCTCAGGTCAAGGAGTACGAGAGGCAAAGTCAATGCTGGGGCGTTTTATTTTGAAATGGGGTTTTTATTTTGCTGTAGATTGACACCGCCCATATTGGCACAGTTAAAATTACGATTCTTCTGCAAGAAATCCGCATGTGCTCGAAACAATACCTTGAAGTTCGCCAGCTGTGTAGAAGCGGTGGGGGACGCGGGCTCCGGCAAAGAAGAAAGAAAAACTCTCAAGCATTTCCCCGAGGGTGAACATGGTTAACTGCGAATACATGGGGTGATGCCATGAGAGATATTTATTAATTCGCGCTATTATATTTATTAATCACACTATGGTGCCTTTATGGTGTAATGGTTCCTGGGAATCGCAATTTGATCACACGGGGGAGTTTACGTTAACTCACTGGCGAATGCCAACGGATTTTAAGTGTGAATACACTTTATAAGCGACCCCAAACCATCCACTGCCGTCGGCGGCGTCCGCAGTCTTCTCTCTATCTTTAAAAGAAAGAGGACTTGGCGAGCCGCAGCGCGACGCTCTACCCAATAAGCCACGCACGCGACGCTGATATCGGTGTCAGTAACGCGCCTTATACCCCCTCCCCCTTCGCTCGCTCCTCCGCCCTCATCGCTCGCTGCAGCTGCGCGCGCACCCCTCTCTCTCGCGCGCCCGCCTTCTCTCTCAGTCTCTCGTCGAGAGCGGGTCGTGAGGGGTAGTAAAGTTAAAATCCGTTGGAATTTGCCAGTGAGTTAACGTAAACTACCCCGTGGGATCAAATTGCGATTCCCAGGAACCATTACACCATAAAGGCACCATAGTGTGATTATTAAATATAATAGTGCGAATTAATAAATACCCCTCATAGCATCACCCCGTGTAT